AACGTAATGCATATTATTCGGCGGCTACTGATCGTAATATTTTTATTTCTATCATTTGTTAGCAGCCTAGACGTACGCCTTAGGACTTGTTTTAGAAAGTCTGTATGCGAAATCTATTAGATAAATCTTTTCGCCGCCTGATCATATGTGAAAAAAAGGGAAAAATGAAAGTTCTTGCTTTTAATTCAAACACGAATCAGGTGCAAAAGCAGACACGAAAAATATGCCACAATGATCACCCTTTCTGCGGTGTCGTTAACGCTCTCGTAATGGTTCCATCATATATCTTCTCCAGACATGTTCTCAACTGCAATTTACTGTGAACGGAACAAGCAGCTTTTGATTTACACGTGACAGATACACAACCAGTCAATAAAACATTCGAAATTCAAGTAATCAATAATTCTGCGGTGGGAGAGATACTGAGATAACTCATGGTTACACTATGCCACCATCCGGTTGTTCGGACGCATAATTTTGGACTGCTTCATTATACGCGCAAGAAATGAATAGATGAGATCGGCTTTTAAAACTGCATTAGGTTCTGTACCGCAATAGCAAACGAATCTGAGTACTGAAGCCTAAAACTGCGTACAACACGAGTTAGGCATTCCTAAAACTTTTTAACGCATAAAACTGAGTGCCAAACTTTTAGTAAACGTCGTAACTTGCTTTTTAACTCGATAGAGTGTAACTGCAGCATAACCTCACCGCCAGTTTTCTTCTTACGCATGTTAGTTATGAGGTTGTCATCGAAATTCACAATCAAGATGCAGTTTTCACTAGCCTATCTTTCTTAAAATCGACGAAATGGTATTTGGATTCGATTGTGCACGTTAAACAAAGTGAGCATCGTTTAAGCAGATACATACAAATGACGACGACGCATTGACGCTTGATTTCACGTTTTGTGTGTTCTGCTACGTAGAAACAAGAATGTTTTAAGACAAATTTTTGCCCTCGCAGTATTTTAGAGGGCTGTGAGAGTACCCAAATATCAGTTTACTCTCTCTGGTGCCTTCATTTACTAGCGTGAGAAAGTAAGCAAATGATTCCGATACTTGCATGCCTCCTGCACTCTTTATGACACGTCGCATGCATATTCATCGCGAGTCGAGACCGGCTTCGAAGTCGTATATTCCCAAAAAATGTGCTTCCTATAGTTACCTGTTGAAAGGGCATTTCATTTTTTTTCCTACCCATTATTGCAGCATTCTGTACCTGTTCTTAGATTCCTGTGAATTCGTTTCGCGTTTTCGCTTGCAGTTTGACTTCGTCTTTTCCGACTCCTTCCAGTGATCTTTGGGATACTTCTTTATTATTACTCACTTCTATTATTGCACTCTTGGGTGTAGCCAGTGCCATAGTAGCAAGACGTAGACATGTTTTAAAGTTTTCTTTTTTTAAGGCATACCAAAACTATACTGCATCGCCCCGCTGCCAAGTAAAATCACGGAAATTTGAAGAATATTGATTGAGCTTACTTCACTCATTGCCGCTTACATGTCAATGGAAGTGTATATACTTTTCCTTCCGTAAATTATAAATGACCTGTTATCTTGACTTCTTTTCAGGTGCATAGGTACCTTTAGGTTTCGGCTACACTGCACTCGGGGTTTGAAACTTCGAACAGCTCACCCACGTAATAGCACTATAGCTGTGGGTGGTCTGAACATTGCGCGGGGACATTGCGAACGTCAATCCCATATAAAGTGAGACACTTGCAACTTTTTTTTTTCGCTCAGCAAATAGAAAGCCAGCTCCTCATTTATATAAATATACTCCCATAATGTCGCACCTTTCTCAATATACACCACGCTTCCGTCGCTCTCGGAGAGAGATTTCCGCAACACATTCGCTGTTTCCAGAATTCTTTAGCTCAAGGTCTCCGCCCGCGTTTCCTTCTCAGCGTTGTTTGAAATAGGCACCCTTTTCAACACGCTGCCCTTTTATTAAATGCAACTGTGTTTTGAGATTTACCACCATGAAGCGAAAACTAAAGCGCGCTTTTCTTCTGGCTCTTTTGATGGGTGGCCACCGGACAGCCATGCTCACCATGTTTTTAGGGCGTGCACGACATTTTTAGCGTTTATCGGCAAGTGCGGATGCGAATATTTAGTATAAAAATGATTAAAATGACTTTTTAGTGCAATGAGAGCGACTCAGTTTCAACACTCAATCACAAGCGCGTCTCCTTTCGTTTCTGGCTTCCGCACAACATAACTTTGTTGTATAAAGTTAAGTTGCAGCGCCAGATTGGTACAGTCTATACGTTTGTGACGGATTGTTGTGAACAGCGCCAAAAGAAACAACCTCGTGAATCAAAACAAGCAAAAATTAACACCAATTTTAAATGTCAAAGACGACTGGCAAAGGAACAAAGATGATGTCGATGCATTAGTGTGAATACTACATTGAAAGTAATGCGACTTACATTTACATATAAGCGATAAACACCAGCACTCAAGCCTGAAGATGATCTGCCAATGCTTTTAATTTTTTCTGCAAGTATTGTTTTTTACCTGCAATACTCCTACATAACAAGGTCTAAAAAACATTTTAAATAAATTGCGCTGCTGTTCAATCGAACGCTTAACTGTACTTTAATTGAAGTGACTTAACTGAATAGTTGAGACACAGCGTTATTTCAGTGCTGCCTGTGAAATGTGATAAAACTTCGCACGAGATTTGTTTTATGAATAAAAGTGGGGAAAAAGAAAGGAGATACGAAAAGTATCGATCGACCCGAGGACCTGTGATGTTCGCGCATCACATTTTTATCGTTCCCGTAACTTCGAAAAAAAAATATTACCCTTTTCGTCAGCGCTCACTTGCCGCGAAAATAAAGAATACCGAACGGTATTGATTATGACTAACATTTTATAGAGAACGAAATATACGTTTCGTTGTTTACTACATAATGCCTATTTCTCTTTCTTTTTTTTTTTTTTTGTAGGCAACTTACCTGCAGTATGATCACCGAGTTCTCAACTCTTGCGACGTCTCTTCGACGAAATTGAAAATGCTAAGACGCAAAAATGACACCAAGTAAACTAAGAACATAAAACAGGGCACCTACCTATTACTTTTCTCTCTTGAAAGTCTGCTTGTGTAATGTGCAGAAAAAAAAAAGTCGTTTTCTAAAATTAAGTTTAAACTCTAACGACATAAGTGAAAACAACATTAAGCCACGTACTTCGAAATAACAGATACCTAACTTTTGTTTGCTCTGTGTTCTCTATGCTTCCCATTTGCAAGACCCGCAGTGGCTAAACATGCTGAACTGGCCCCAAGTTACGGCTACCTAACTTTGCATATCTGACCTTTTAACTATAGCGTTAGATTTCAGAAAGAGTTAATCGTGCTAAATACAGACATTCGACGAAATTTTCTCTGATAAAAGACGTTTCGGAGTCACTCACCTGAGGTCTCGGTGCCAAAGTGGCCCGTCACGTGCTGCTCTCCGTCTCTTCTCAGGCGCGTCGCACACTATGCGGTCACGAACTTTTCTTCGGAGAGTTTCGGCTGGGGAGAAGTTCACTTCGGAGCGTTGCGTTCAGCGGGGGTGACGGTTACGACTTTCGGGCGGAGCTGCGAACGCGCACGAGTAGTGGGGGGGACGAGAAGAAGCCCGGATGCGAACTTTCGATCGCCTTTCCACTCTGAACAGCCGAGCAAGGGGTGTTGGTGTATGCCGGCGATGCTGGTGTAGTGCTCCGTCGGACCGTGCTTCCAGCGAGTCTGTGGCTCTTCTTCGGTTCCGGGGTTGAGGCGCTTCAAAAAATGTGCTGCGCGCGCCCTCCTTCGAACGTCGGTGGCAACTCGCGCTGAATCCGCGTCGCAAACGCTCGGCTACGCTTTATATACGCGCTCCGGCTATTGGATTTTGGTGGCGAGAGCAAGACCGAAGTATGCCGCTTACACTGGAGCAAGTGGGCGTCCCGGCTTGAGAAACGCGCAAAAAGCTTGGGAGGAGCGCGCGCGCGCGTCAGCGCGGCGCGCATATTGCTGACGTCATGGACGTCATGGGTGAGAGCGGAACGCGATTGGTGGACATCCCGGCGCTCCACCGAGCAGTGGATCTTTACTCTCCGGTGCATCGGTCAGCCAGCGTAGAGAAAGTTGGGTGTAGGAGTGGGAAGCAAAAGGAGGGTAAGGGTTAAATTGGCGTATCTTTGTGCATTCTTTAACGTGTAATCGCTGCCGGTGAAGAGACGAGGTCGATCACCATCTGAACCGTTGATTCAGACGCGATTGCCAAATGAACCTCGCGCTGTTCGTGGCAGCAGCCTAATTTTTCAAGACGTGTGCGTCAGCAAAACTATTCCGTTCCACGAAGGAGTGACGCAACACGTGGTTCTTGAAACTGATCGTGCTGCCGCTAAAAGAGAGAGAGAGAGAGAGCGATGGCTGTTTCATTATAACCACAGCCAATTATAAGATCATTGTTGCGCTGTGTCACCGATGAGGCGTTCCTTTTCACGAACTTCTGCGAAGAAGTGTTAGTCAAATACGCAGTTTTTTCTTACTTCTTTTCTTTCTTTCCTTTATTTTTTTACATTTAGGAGAGAGAGAAAACAAAGGTCGTAGAAATAAAAGACTACATGCTGCAAACGTGCTAAGCTTTTTCACGTCGCACAGGAACCTTGCTTAACTTTCAGTAATACTGGCCAAGAGCAAACCATTCAGCTACCAGTGAAATATTAGGCAAAGCAAAAGCTTTCCTGGCGTTTATTGTATGCTGAAGCCAGACGTCACACACACACAATAGGTAGCAGTTCGTAAGCACAGCAGGTATCCATCCGTTACCAATACATAACCGAATAGCAGTGAGACGATAAAGCGAGCAAGCGTTTTGAATAATATATGCGAAAAAATTACCATAATCAATAGTTAACAACAATTAACATCTTGATATCATTAAAATAACTTCACATTACAAAAATATTGCTATTTCAGAGCTTAACAACAATAAATGGCTACTGAATGTCAAGGAACGTTCATAGATAGTGGTCTTTGAGAAAGTCGCACTGAGTTTTGCGAAATTCAAACGGGCTCCGCTCGGTGTTCGGCGCACTTGAAATCGCTATGGTGTAGTTGAAGATGGTCTCGCCCAGGTCGGCTGGAATGGTCCTGCAGTGATAAGGTAGGCGGTAGTCAAAGTTGCGTCAAACTACAAAGCTGTTGCGTTTGGTTTGGGCGTGAAACGTACAGCCTGCCTGTCTGTCGCCCATACTTCCCTTTGGGACCACCGAGCAAGCTGCTATGCTAAAGTGACTCCACTTTCGTAGCCACTTCCAGTAGGAAAAATTATTAGCTTTCAAAAATATGTAAACGGCAGTTAAACATATCGAAGTTGTTAAACAGAACCAAAATTACCTATGCGGTATAGCGCTAGCCTTGTTTCGAATATCAATAAATGAAAATAAATTTTACACGATTTTCTATCAAGCTCGGTTTAACAAAAGCACGTGAACATCTGAGGGAGTGACACGGGCTTAAAATAATTTTTCGAGCAATAAATGTTTTGTAACAATACCCTTTGGGTTATACAGACGAGGTACAAATTTTGTGAGCAAATTGTAGAATATGCATGCGTGTGGTAGAGAGGGAGAAAAAAAATTAAGAAAGTGACTGGGAAACAGAGCTCCTCTGTAGGTTTTTTGTAGCAATTGCAAAAACATAGCGCACAATTCTCAGTGACTTTCACATGCATTGCCCACAGAAAGCGAAATATCCGAAAATTCCTTACGATACCATTCGAATACATAGAGAAAACATTAGTAAGCCAGGTTTACATGGCTGTACTTTCTTAAACTTACCCGTGTGTTATTTGTGTATGAACAAATGACAAGTAACCAAGTTGGAACGTTGATTTCCTTTTTTCTTCCGGAAGTCTGAAGCTTAGCGAGAAAATAGTAGTTTTTTTTTTACCATTTTTGATGGAGCTTGCAAGTAATAATAAAATAACGATAGCCGCATGCATTTTCCAGTTCCGCTCACCGCGAAGGCTCCACGAAAGATGCCCTTGCCGGCCACATCCTGTCAAAGGTTCGTAGAGAGAATTCTGAACAGTAGGTGCCGTGAAAAAAGGGGGCGCTTGTTGACAGGAGATGCCTTGTCAACTCCAGACACGCCTCAACTCGACAAAGCCACGTGCCCCGGTAAGACACACGCATGCATGATCTCGACCGTGAATGGTTTGTTCCCTGTTTCGCGTCCCACCAACGCTTATTTGCATGCCTCGCGTTCGTATTCTTCCGGCGTACGACGTCCGTGGTAGCTGTTAGGGTCCAGCGGATCCCGATGCTCTGTTCAACTCCGATAGTTCGACGTTCGCGCGCTGTCACCTCGGCTGGCAGCGTTATTTCTAGTTTCGCGTCAATTCGTTTCATCCACGGGCGCACAAGATCAGCGCCGAGTTGCTCGCACATGAACAAGGTGCTGAAATATGGAACCGAACGGAACGTGGCATGGTTATGGGACGAACCCTAGCAACAGCGTACCCGCCAATAACTTGAAGCGTTATTTTAGCGCTGCTGTCTTGTTTGCATGCGGACTCAAGGAGTACTGTAAGGTTGTTGAAAAAAGGATCTTACTTTAGTTACGCAGTTTTTTTTAATATTTTAAAAATACAAATTGATTATTATCAAGAAATAACAACTGCAGTAAAAAGACGTAATCATAACAAACAATACCAGAACCTCAGAATGTTTTAAAGTATGTAAGTTCCGAGCGCAGTAAAATTACGCCAACTTCAAAAATGGAGCTTGAAACGTTCAAAGCCGGCTTACTACTATGCATGCTATAAGCCACGTTACAAGATTTGCCCACAAGTGAACAATATACTTTTAACCGCTAATAGCCACGCGTACGTCATTCTGTTTGGAGGTACGAGAGTATTTTTGACTGAACTTGTAACCATATACCCGGGTATTACTAATTATAGAAAAACAGCCATTTGTGCTGATTGGTAACGGTACATTATAGAAGAAGTTGGGCGTGGTACGTAACATGGACTGGAGGAGAGAACAACACAAGCGCACACTCGCACATTAAATAGCGTTAGGGATGGCTAACGCATTTTTCAACGGAAAGATGCATTAACCACCCCTCAATTTCCATTTCAGAGAAAGAGTACTGCCCCGCCGCGATGATCTAGTGGCTGGGGTACTCGATTGCTGACCCGCAGGTAGCGGGATTGGATCTCGGCTGCGGCGGCTGCCTATTCGATAGAGGCCAAAATGCTGTATATAGGCCCGTGTGCTCAGGTTTGGGTGAACGTTAGAGAACTCCGGGTGGCCGAAATTTCCAGAGCCCTAATACGGTGTTGCTCATAATTATATGGTGGTATTGGAAAGTTAAACCCCACACATCTATCTTGATTTATGCGTAGTTTGGGAAGCTGAAGCCACATGTGCAAAAGTTACTGAATTTCATTCGCCTATTACCAAAATAATGGCAACGCTTTATTTACAATATCTATCCCCTGTTCGGATTGCCAAGATTTCGCATATTTTTTTAAATAACGAAGCAGCAAATTAATCGTGACGCATGCGCACCAATCGAAGCAGCTAGCATGCGCGCTCGCTTGTGTGACATGGGTATATAAGGGCCATGCAGCGTGGTTGACGAGCAACTGTGTTTGACCCGCCGCGGTGGTCTAGTGGCTAAGGTACTTTGCTGCTGACCAGCAGGTCGTGGGTTTGGAACCCGGCTGTGGCGGCTGCATTTCCGATGGAGGTGGAAATGTTGTAGGCCCATGTGCTCATATTTGGGTGCACGTTAAAGAACCCCAAGCAGTCGAAATTTCCGGAGCCCTCCACTACGGCGTCTCTCGTAATCATATGGTGCTTTTGGGACGTTAAACCCCACGTATCAATCAATCAAAAAAGAGTACTTATATTTGGTAAACTCGCTGTATACTAACATTTTTTGTTTATTTTATCCGTTTATGTATATATTTATGTTCTCTGTTCGGGCGCATGCACCTTGATGATGTTTGGTGATTTTTTGCAGCAATGCGATGTTCATTTTGTTTTTGTTTTTTAGGCGACAAAATTTATATCATGGGACGATTTTTGTAAACTATATATGTGTACACCTTCAACAAACATTCAGTTGCGAGTATGTGCTTATGTTGTTGTTCTCTCCTCCAGTCCGTGTTACGTACCGCGCCCCAGTTCTTCAATAATTATGTCTCTCACAAAATTTAACGGAACCAACTCAACGGAAACAATTTCCCCGGAAAATCCATTACCAAACGACGGCGTTTTGTGTCCAGTAGTACTAACATAGTGACACAAACCAATCATGTCCCGGGTAAAAGGCGTGACTGTCGACCACCGCTATGAATTTCACAATTCACTGCAAAATCACCCTCGTGCTTGCGTTCGGGTGGCCATTAGATGATTACGAATGACGTTAGAACTATCGCTAAGCGTTAATTGGCAGCTTGGCTAGGTGATTTGTGGGATATTTTGGAACCTTGAGGTGGTGAAAAAAAAAGACTATGGATAGGGTAACAAAAAAAAAACGCAACGTCAGAACACGTTGTGTGTTTCTTCATATCCTGTCCTTACCCTCGTTAGACAGTACGATGTGTAAAAATTATCCCGCAACTATAACCTATTGCATCCTTCAGAGGCAAAGGCAAGGGAATACTTTAAGCTATATATACGAGTGCTCACAATCAACACCGAATGCTCATGTTTAGCGTTTTTGTCTTGCTTATTTGTTATTGATTGCTACTCTTTTGTGCTGTTTATATTGCGCCTGCGGTGTTTTGACATGGAGGTACCAAATGTTGCCCAAACTGTTCGTTCGAGTAAATTTCCGCTATCCGTCTTGATGTCAATTTTTTTTCTCTCTTCCGTATAGCGCGTCAAATTTTCTCACAATACGCAGTTGAATGGCGCCTTGTCACGCCGCCCCAGTCTTCATCGGGGTAGACTTCTGTGTACTGCTCGTCTTATTAGACGAAATGACCGTCTGTTTCCCTCGAAGGTCGCAACAAAAGAAAGACAATTTTTACCTGTTTCTTTTTCTATTATTTTTCACCATTCGAGTGACGTCATGGCAACATCTCCAACCATGACGTAACAGCAAGTGGTATAATTCCAGAAAAAGGTTCACTCTCTTGTTGGAAGACAAATTCACAAACAAAATAGTTCGCGTCTGTCTTACGCTCTTGTTTACTTCGATCTTAAAATTGTTAAGACGTTGGGCTTGAACTCTAGCTTGCGGTATTTTATCACTTTTTTTAATGCACAACCAATGAAACCGGCACACAATGAAGCCAAGAAAAGTAGACGAGACGCTATTGGTTGTTTTAGATGTAGCTAAATGTAGCGTAATGATTATAAATAAACTAATTTGAAAAGAACTAAAGTTGACGCAATAACCAACTTACATCCACATTAATCTGCTTCAGTGCCAGTCAATTATTATACTAGTCAAAACAACAAATAACGCATCATTTATATGCTCAGTTCACTGTTTCTTTCATTGGGGGTGGATAACACAAAAGCGAGCACATCAAACAATTCCCTTTCTTTCCTTCTTTGCGATTCAGATTCACAGTGACGCTATAATATAAAATTTGGAGTATTAACGCTCTGAAACCACGATATTATTGTGATAAAAACCGCAGCGGAGTGCTCTGGAAATTTCGGCCATTTGGGATTGTTTAACGCGCCCCTAGATCTGAGTTCCATGGGCCTCAAGCATTATCGCCTACATCGACATTGCGGCCAGCGCGGCCGGGATTCGATCCCGCGACCTGCAGGTACCATAACAACTAGACCGCCGTGGCGGGTACGCATGCAGCGAAGTCTTGTTGATGCATGCGCAGTTAGATTACTTTTCTTCTTTTCTTTTTTGTGCATATTGGGTAACTGCAAGACTGTCACATCGGCGACTTTTTTATAAGACACAGCATCATTCCGGTGAGTTCCAGCAATTGTAAGTTATGTCGCCAGTGTAAACCTGGCTTAGAGAACAAAAAAAAACGCTCCACAAAACCTAGCGCGATTACAAGCTAGTTAAACATTATAAAAGACGTAAATCGGAAGAATGGCGCTTAAAAAAAATGTCGCACTAGTTGTGGTGAGCACAACCTGCGGTACAGGCTTTAATGACGCCAAAATCTTATGTACAGTACTACGGAGAGTTTCTTGACATAACATTCTCACCATTAACTGGCTCACTTTTGATTCACGGCCTTTCTGTGAAATGGTTGCGTCTTTTTGTTTGCTTGTCAAAAATGTTTTTGTTCAAGAAGTGTCTTTTACGTAGCGTGTGCAACCTTCCTACATGACTGCATATGTAAATTGGATCGATTTTTTTGTTGTTGTTGTTGCAACACCGTCACGCTGACATGCGTGCAGGGTGAGCAGAACACACTCAAGCTTTTCCAACCAGCTTTTTTTTTTTTTTACTCTGCGCGACATTGCTAACACCGCCGCAAATAAAGTTAATGTGACTAACCCTCTCTTGGCGAAGTCCGTCCAGAGGGTAATCATGCGACGGCTGAGCGCCTGCTCTTCGGCGTCGCTGTTGTTCCGGCGCAGCGGATCACCGAAGACCAGGCCGAGGGCGTACAGCTGGGCCACCGTCTCCGACGAGCTCGGAGAGTCGTCCTCCTGCGACTCCGCAGTCGACGGGTGCCGTCGCCTGAGCAGCAGGTACCGGTGGACGCCGTTGTTGCCCGACGAGGCCAGGTAGTCGGCGAAGTGGCGTACGGGGCACACGACCAGAATATCGGCAAGCAGGTTGCCCGCCCAGTGGCTAACGTTGCCCGCCGAGCCCTGTGCTGTGCCGCGCGCGGAACAATGCATTCACTCATTCTTCCTTTTTTTTTCAAGGCAATTTTTTGTATATTTTTTAATACTAATACTTTTTCGCACTATAGCGTTGTCCCTCTTATTGAGTTTTCATTCATGTCACCAATTTGTCCCCCTTTTGTATGTTTGTCTGCAGAACTGTATTTCACTTTGTTTACCATTTCAATGTATAATAACATTGTTTTGATTTGCAATTTTATTGTATAACTAAACCCCCCTATGTAATGCCCGAACGGGCCTTCAGGGTATATATGATTAAAAACAATTAAAGAGTGAGTTCAGGAGACACTTTCTTTTTTAATAGAGAAAAACCCTTCTATAGGAAGCTTGCAGTCAAGAATTATTATACTGCTCTCCACGCTAAGTTTACTGAACTTCTTCCCAGAGAAAATAAAACGAAGCGATGTCGTCAGAGTATGTGGATTCTTAGAAACAATTGTTATACATTAGAAAAGAAACTGATTTTCTTCCTGACAACCCTGACGTAGGGATATAGTTGTTGTAGTGATCGAATGCTCGCCTGAAGGCCCCAGGTTCTGATTCCGACTACAGGGTTCGCATTTTTGATAAATGGAATATGCTAGAGGCCAGTGCGCCTAGACTCAGGTGCACATCGAAAAATTCAATGTGAAAATTTACGGAGCACTCTATTGCGGCTTTCCTCATAATCGAACCGTGAATTTGGGTCGCGAAACCTCAAGAATCATTATCATTGTTTTCGCAACGAGGGCTGAGCATGGAAGTAGTTTAATGACTGCTTTCATTAAATTCCTACGTCTATTGCAGGTCACTGCCCGTTTATGTGCCGATATGTCGAGTTATTTCTCTAGCTAAAGAGCATAGAACTCATGAACACGAGTCAATGATTATATTAATCAAACACGGCACAATCTAACATGCACAGAAATCTGATCAACAGCAGTTGCAGTGCCTTTTCTATAGTGTACTGTTACGACGGAACGTTACAATGCTAAAATGATGAGACGAAGAAGACATTTTTGAGGGCAGTTTATTTGAAATCGCAATTCGCGAGTGTCGAAACGCCATGAGTAGAGCGCACCGTAGGAGCCGAAAGTCGGAGTTCTTAAATGCACTGCAAAAGCATGTATCGCACTGAGTGACGTAGGAAAATAAAGGCACTTGGCAGTTCACGCCCAACTTTTTTACATTTCATCATAGCGTAAAAGCACCTCTATTACTTTAGGGCGAAGGCAAGCGAAAAGTATAGTGTACCCAGCAGCTGGCCAAGTTCGGCTCCCCTATCCTGCATGTTCACGTGGAACTGCACACCACTCACTTCAAGCTTAAGCGTCTTAGTGTGAACGAAGGTGCACAAGATTAGAGAGTACACAAAGCCCTGCAAATAGACTTTTTCAGATATCAGCGTTCAAAGAAGCCTCAGTAGTCTATAGAGCACATTGTATAATGTATTACGGTAGACAACGGAAGCTGAGTGATACTAACCACGGAAAGAAAACCAAAAGAGGCACCTTGCAAGTGAAGTCTGCTTCTCCTGCTGTCTACAAACTAGTGAAAGAAGCACGCTTTACAGAAACCACCCGTGGAGGTGTTATACTCGTCACGTCTTCATTTTGCGACGTAAGGCGTGGTGGCACACACTTGTAGCGTAAGCTACAGTGGCCGAGGTTAACTACTTTCACGTGGCTTATCGACAGCAGTGCTGCGTATTCAATGACGTCACACGCCACACAGCAGGCGTGCCGGAGCAGACCTGGAAGCTCCTGGAGTGACGTGTCACTAGTTCGCTGGCACTTTACTGGTCTGGGCTCACTCGCTAAGCCGTCCGTCTGTCCACCCATTCGTGCGCGCGAGTCCGTCCGTTCATCTTTTTATTCATCCGTCCATCCGTCCACCCATTCGTTTCGTCCGTTCATCCATTCGTCCGTCCGTCCATCCATCCATCCATCCATCCATCCATCCATCCGTCCACCCGTCCGTCCACCCGTCCGTCCACCCGTCCGTCCGTCCGTCCGTCCGCCTGCCTGCCTGCCTGCCTGCCTGTCCGTCCGTCCGTCCGTCCGCCTGTCTGTCTGTCTGTCTGTCTGTCTGTCTGTCTGTCTGTCTGTATGTATGTATGTATGTATGTATGTATGTATGTATGTATGTATGTATGTATGTATGTATGTATGTATGTATGTATGTATGTATGTATGTATGTATGTATGTATGTATGTATGTATGTATGTATGTATGTATGTATGTATGTATGTATGTATGTCACTCATGCCACGTGTATACCATCATAGCCGAGCTAAGCCATTGCTAATTTTTGGGGCCCGGTAACCTCGTTCAACGAAATGACTGACCATTCACCGGAATTCTACTGATGATATAAACGCTGAGATTGGCGAAGCAATTGCTTATATTTGCTGACGAGAAAATGCTTAGGCATTGTAAATGATCGTTCACTTTAAGATTAACTATGTAATTTACTAGAAAATAAATAAACACAAAGTCCCTAGTACACGAGGTGGCAGAGAGGGCCCGCTATCCGTATGAGGAAAGAAACTCTCGTGCGAAGTGTCACTCACATTCGTGTAGTAATGGGCTATGACGACGGAGCTGCTGTCATTGAAACCCAGGTATTGAAGCAAGCTGGGCACCATCCTGTCCAGCACTGGTCCTTCTACCACGCCTTTCTTCTGCAAGTGGGACATCAGATACGGCACCTCGTCCTCCATGTGGCCCAGCAGAACGTTCACGCCTGTCAGCTGCGTCAGGGAAGGGCAGCCGTGCATAGGCGTGAGCAGGTTTGCCGGTTTTCTCGTAAAAAGTGACAAGGAGGTAAGAGAATTATTTATTGTCTCAAGACAGCGTGCTTCACCATGAATGAAAAAAATTACACCATATTCACTAAAGGAAGCCATGTGTGAATGCAAAGCACCATGCGTGCTCACTTGTGTTTGTATTCGTTGTTTTCGTTTGTATGTTTCCATATATATTTCATTTGTGTCTGAAGTTGTGTATATGTTGTGTGCCGCTTATGTTACCTCCTCCTCCCATTTGTGTGTACTACCGTGTGTGTGTGCCACAAAATAGACACCTGGCATCTTGTGTAATTATCTTACAGTCAGGTAATACTAATGCGTACTTCTCTGCGCCTGTCTCATTCTGCTTATACAATATTCATCCTAAGACAAAAACGGCACCAATTTTAAATCTGACTTTACATGGTAAGCGAACAAAAGACAAAGCTCTGGCACCAGCTTACGAGGAACCGCGAGCAACTGGCAGCGCCACTTCACCTTCTCAATGATTAAGGAGAGCCGTCGCTCACATCAAAATTCCAAGGGAGGTCATCGCGTACAAGAGAATTCCTACAGAATCCAGCACGTTTCAAAAGCCGGAATAATATTTCACACACCCTATACGATGTACCAACAGATGAATGGATTCGACTTTCTCGATGAATATGCGTGTAACTCACGCGGACGAGCTGCTTCAGCTTGGATGGCGAGTACCGCAGTATCCCGGTGAACGTGGGAAAGAAGCGGGGTAGCAGCGCGTTGGAGTACAGTGACTTGGCGTCCACGCCGAGGAGGCAACGGACACCGTCCACGACGTCGCACTGCAGCTGTTGCACCAGCCAGTCCACATTGGCGCGGTAGTTGACTGTGTTGTCGTGCGTCCTGCGCAGTACCAACCGGCCAACCACATCGTAAGGCGGCAGCAAGTGCTTCAACTTAGTTTGCTGAAGTTAGCAAACTTCACGTAATGATGCGATCGCACAGTAACGGCGCTTCTTCGATATCAATTTGCGGTAATGCCTTTGACTGATATATACTCTTAAAGTGTATTGGAAGCTCGAACGGAGGAAACCAACGTTAATCGCTTCACTAAGATCGCACAGCCAAGGCACAACGTAATCAATTTTCGCGATCAGCTTAAAGCGTTTAATTTTTAAAATGCGTTCAACGCCATAATCGAAACGGCGTGCCGTTATTGCCAATATTAAGGCCGTTTAGGTGCCACAACTTTGTTTTGTCACGTATCTAAAATCAAGAAAAGAACAATTGGCCGTAGCCAAACAGAAAATTCATGGTCTCACTGGTTCAAAAAAGAACACTGGTCACGTGTGTTCTATACAAGTTATAAGTGTTCCTTGGTTACTCACCATAACCTCACTATCCTAGTAAGTAAAAATAAAGCTGCCGCTAGCATGTTAACCTTCCCATTGTAACATCACAAGCACCGGAAATAAAGAAGAAACCATTCTCTTAGTTGGTTTAGTTAGTTAGCTAGTTAGTGAGGTGAGTGAGTGAATGAGTGAGTGAGTGAATGAGTTAGTGAGTGAAGTAAGTGAGTGAGTGAGTTAGTGTGTGAGCGAATGAGCGAGTGAGTTAGTGAGTGAGTGAGGTAAGTGAGTGAGTGAGTTAGTGAATGAGTGAATGGGCGAGTGAGTGAGTGAGTGAGCGAGTTAGCGATTGAGTTAGTCAGTGAGGTAAGTGAGTGAGCGAGCCAGTGACAAATAATTGCACTATATGACGAGGAAACCACCATCGTCACCTGGTGAACGGGCTGCCACTCATCAGGATGGCTCTGGTGAGGCGCGGTATGCCGACGCTGCCATGCCTCTCCCGGTCATCGCCTGCTGCCGCACTACCGAACATGTGCAGGCCGATGGAGCCAGCACCGGCACCGTGTCCCATGGCCACCACGTCGGAAGAGTTCCCGGCGAAGCTGCCGATGTGCGCGCGTGTCCACTCGAGCGCCAGCAGTTGGTCTTGCAGGCCCGCATTGCCTGGCGCCTCGGGCCCCCCGTTGTAGAGGAAGCCGAGGGCACCGAGTCTGTAGTTGGGCACAACCACCACCACGTCTCCCAAGGCGGACAGGTAGCTGCCGTTTTTAATGTAAAAGGAACGAGAAGTTTTGAAGAACGTTGGCATCACATTGCAGTCGCTCTAAAAATCATAGCAGCGTATGTCACCGGAGTCAAAATTCCGACAAGAGGGCTAGCCTTTTTTTTAATTTTTGTTAGTAATCTGGGGTTTCGTGTGTCAAAAACGGCGATAAGATTATGAGGCACGCCCGTACCAGAGATCTACGCAAATTTCGTCCATATAGTGTTCTTTGACGTGCACTGAAATCACACAGCACAAGAGCTCTCTAGAATCGCCTCCATTTAAATGCAGCCACCACGGCCGGGATCGGACCTGCGACATTCGGGTGGGGCTAGTCTTCGACGCCCTGACGAAGACAAGCGTACTTGTCGAACCGTCGTATCCAGCGATAGTCCTCGTTCTACGACTTGTCATTACACGTTGCCATCTTCCCTTGCACTTCTGTGCTATTTCGGTTATGGCCACCGGAGTTCATCACACAAGGAGCACTGGTAAATCAGGCAAAACGAAGGATAGGCTCTCGTTCGTGTGAAATGTGTGCCTATGCTGGACATTTTACACGAACTTTGACATTTGAATTTGTAGGTTGAACGAAAACAGCAATCAGAGGCAAATGGCTTAGCTCGTGTACGCACCTTCCCTTTTGGCTTGCAGTTCACAGGCATAAGCAAACATGACAGATGTGATTGTTGTGCACTCACACTATTGGAAAAGTCTGCTTTCAAATTATTGTCGATAGCGTGGTAGGTGTATCACTGATAATAAGAAAATTAAAATCCTATTGCGAGGTGTGGAAGGTCAAGAGCCATCTTAGGCAATCGTGTAACGTCAGTAATATGCTGTAACTTTATTTTGTCGGAGAACTGAATTTCGGCATGGCCACCCAGCGCGTAATACATGGCAGCGGTGGCATATTATAATGACGCATATCACAATTACTCAACCGAACGAGAGAAAGAAATGAATTTAGGCCGATGACTAAACATCGGCAATAGGCTGTTGCATGACTTTATTGACATCGACGAAGGGTATTTAAACCTTTTTTCCACCTAATGAATATTATCAAGTCTATCGAGTCGTTCCGTAAAAGCGTTGCAATGGTAGTCATATACGGTCAATTTCTTTTCGGACTCCACCCTATCGACTGCACTCTATGCTCTGTCGACGACTGAAAACACTGGCTTCTACAGAAGCTAGACAGTCATTCCACACAGGACAGTCACAAATGTAACGTGCGGCCAGACACTCTAATGAGGCGTGATGCGTCAGCCGAGAGTGATCTGCCGCCCACGAGCTGGTGACGGGAGGCTGATCTTTTGAATTGAATTATCTTGCGCGCACACACAGGGTCACCTGGCGGTAAGGGTTGTCCACTGTAGCAACAACCCCGAATGCCGAGAAAGACCCGTTAATGCCCCCCTCATTTAGTTCGTAAGCGGCTGCAGGAAACCGCGTGCAAGAGACGGCAGCCGAATCTTGCATTTGCATCTCGTGAAAGCAGCTATGGAGGAGCTGGACCTGACAGGATGTGATCACTCTTTCACTGTGGGCATTTGCGTTTCTTCTACGGCGAGAAGGCACCATCCCGAACGCTGCCATTAAGACAACCGGAAAAATTGGTTGTTCTATTGTTTCGTTCTGTTGGTGCTGATGCCGCTGTCGTTGATGATGTTGATAGAAATGTATTTGTTTTTGTCGTCATGGCCGTTGTTGCAATTTGGGTTGTAGTTGTTGCTGCTGTCGTCACTGCTGTAGTCCCCCTCAATATTTTTGTTGTTACTGTCGTAATCCTTAATTGTTGTACTTGCGTACTGCTTCTGTCATCGTTGTCGTCGTTTTTATTTTCCCGTGTCTCTAGTATGCAAGGTCTCATTCGCTAATAACCAAACCTGGGCTGTGGGAACAGAGACGTTTTAGAGAACATCTCTTGAATGTTACTTTTGTATTCCTACTAATGCCAAGGATGAAACCAAGGTACGCTCAAAAATGGGCTTTAACTTCTTTAATCAAAGTTTCATATCTTAAAAATGTCTACTGAGCGACTGTGACATAAACTAACGACCTCGTTCGTGTCATAAGACGAGGTCATGTGGAATAAACTCACGCCTCTCGCAGAAGACTGTGCTTGAAATTGTTATTTCAGATATACCACAAGAAGACTGACATTATACAAAGACACTTATCTTAAACCACCACAATATCTGTAGCATTACCGATCGTGACCTTAAAATTCAGGAATACCGGGCGTTTATGCGAACCTTTTTTTTTTTAAATTGTACAAGAATGTCCGATCATGACCTTAAAATTCAGTAATAATGGGCCTTTTGCTATCTTTTTTTCATATTTTACAAGAAAGGAATGAATTGTCTCGTGACCAAGTGTGCTATTCTATAACGAAGACTTTCTTTAGTTAGACTGTTGCCCCCCGCTTGAATGCCTTTCAGCAAAGCAGGGTACTTTAGAATAAAAAAAATATGCCATGTCATAACTTCAAATCTCATGGTTCACCGACAAATCGCACTGGTGCACACTGGTGCACACTGGGGTACCCTTGCGCGCAGTTCCGTCGAGGCATCGTAGCGCCTGGGAGCCCCCGTGCGCACCAGTTTGATTTGTCGAAGATGCCATTTAAAGAATAACTCAAGTTGGCTCAATTCACGCCAATTCATGGGTGTTAGCTCCAGGTCCGAGGAACGCGCACCTTCCGTCGAGCGGGTAGTCCCTGTTGCTTCCGGTCTGGAAGAACCCTCCGTGCAGGAAGAAGAGCACCGTCCGGTTCGCGCACGAGGGCTGCCGCGTCGCGTCGCAGGTCGCCTCGGGCGTCCAGATGTTCAGATGCAGGCAGTTCTCCGACAGATCGGAACCAACGGCGTCTTCTTGGTAGCACGCGGGACCCGGACGCTGAGCGTTCATCTACAAGGCGCCAGTCGCAAACGGCATAACGTCAGTAGTAGTGGTTCTTGAAGAAGGGGAAAAGGCAACCAATTTCTGTCTACCTATCTGGCGCCACGTGCCTTGTAGGGGATCACATAATGTGGATAAAAATAAAAAAAGAGCTTAGGGACACCATAATGGAGAGATGCGGAAATTTCACCATCTTAGGGTTACGTGGTATTCTTCAGCGTGCACCTAAATTTAAGTACAGGGGCAGCTATAACGTTTGACCTCCATCGCAATGCGGCTGCCACAACCATGATTCGATTTCGCGACCTTCGGATCACTAAGAGAGCACCGCAACCACTAGGACGCCATGGCGGGTACCGGTGGAGTGTGTTAAATGCCAGAGCCGCTACCGGAGAATTTTACTACTCGTGAATGGGCAGCTGCTGAATGGGTGATTCCTATATTTCACAAGCAAAAGTAAGCAATTGAATGATTAATTGATCAATCTTTTTCAATTGATTGATTCAAGGATTGGTTGATTCTGAGCACAGGCGAGACAGTCACATTTACCGTGGCGGGCGTCCGTGGCATGGCTTTCTGAAAGCGGTCCTTGTGCAACCATGGCTCGGCGAAGGGCACGCCCAGAAAGGCGTACACTTGTCGTCCGGCAGCGAGCAAGCCGAAGCCCGTGACAGAACCGAAGGCACCGGCAATGGTCACCTCGGCGCGCACGGGCGGAGAGCCGGGCGAGAGGAGCACGAGGGAGGTCAAGATCACGATGCCCGCCGACAGGATGGTGGCCACGGCGCAAGCCAGATCGGACGTGGTCAGCTGATGCCACCTGCACGGTGCGCGGAGCAAACGATTCATGGCGACAAATGATAGCGTCTATATATGGTCTTATTATGTGGTGTCCTTTTATAAAGGCGATAGCTTTTAGGCACCTCATCAAACGCGGAAATTGACCATCGATGGTGTAGGCGTCCCGCGGCATGGGCGCAAACACGACTCATAAAAACTATACCACAATGACGTCATCATGACAACGTCACTTAACATCGCATGCTGACGTCATCACAGGATGTCATCGCTCTAACAAAAGTAGATCGACCGTCGATCACGGAAGCAGTGCGAAACTATGTTGGATGCAGAAAGCTTTTTTTAACGGTGGCGGGGGATGACCAGTACATCGCCTTTGAAGAAAAACATTCACCGACGATTGCGATACTGCCGAACGCGAATTCTTAGCGCAGCGCCGTTTTGCGGCAAGGCCAGCCATGTTTGAAGCTTGGACTGTCCGCAAGGTATCGCCTACACCATAAGTGATAATTTCCGTTAAGTAGGACAGCATCCACTGCGCTATTATCCGTATTTCAGCATGCGAGATACCCGCTATCTGTGTGATGTTATGTGCACTTGGCTGACGTTGCATGTGGTTTATGAAGGATTATGGCTGAGCACTCACTGTGCAGTGGACAAGAATCATTAAATTACACACTCGTTGACCAGTGAGAATTGTGCGCGACTGGCTGTTATTTTATTCTTCTGCCATGCTATAAGACAAGTTAACGCGATTCCTTGCTCGATATGACGCCTGTATAAGGCCTTTTTGCGAACGAGTTTCGTGGCTATGCGGTAGAACACTCGACTGCCACGCAGAAAAATTGGGTGCAAATTTGATTCTGGGGATTTTTTTTTCTCCCTTTGTCGTGTATATCGGTTGCGACGTCGGCCCTATCTGCCCCGACGTGGGAGCGGCCCGCTACGTGCTAGTTCACTCCCCGACGGACCTAAATAATGAAGTTTTTCGATACCACACCATACCATATCGGTTGCGCTACTGAAAGCGACGGTGATGGCGACGCCGTAGAACGCAGGAACAGGCAATGACGAGTTGCGCTCTAAAAGATGCCTTTCGAGCCGTAATGTGCGAATGCATCAGGAACCTTATAGTTGTCGATTTATTACTCAAGCTTTCAGGTAGAAAATGAAACTTGAGCAATTATATAATGCAGAGAGCTCGACCCCGTTCACGTGCGGTTTACCGCGCAGTGTAATGCCAAACGGGATATCAAGAACGTCCTTCCAAAGGGCTTCATAAATGACTTTATAAAAGGCGTATGTTGCCTCACGAATCAACGGATGCAAAAAGTTTGAGAATCAGCAAAGTACAAGTGAATTTGAAAGGATTTGCCGCATGCTTTAAAGCTTTCCTTTTGTTCTAGTGAGTGTGCTCGAAGCCACGTCAGCGGGGGAGTGGTGTGTGAAAAGGGGCAGCCTGTTACTTCACGTGTGTTTCATATGGTATGGTATGAAGAACTTTATCAAGGTCCTGATGATCAGTTCAATACTGATGCTGGCTGCTCCCACGTCGGACAGAGATGCCAAGATCTTCTGCCACCACACGCGTGCCCTCTGACCTCGAGCATTCTTTTCCTGTCTTTTTTCTTCGAACGCGCGGCTTATTTTTCGTGCAATCTACTAGAGCACACAGACATGTGGCACCCCCCCCCCAGCGGCAGTTTCGGTAACTATGAAGCTCACAATTGTCAAATCAGCCAATGGCTGTGATTTTAGGTATATGATGTGGTTATTTGCGTATATAGCTTTATTTCTAAAAAGAAGGAAAGATTTATAGCTGAATGGGGACTGTAAATTCCAAGCCAAATGATGCTTAGCTATAATGGTTTGCTCCTGTGTTCTCAGCAGCCTTGCAGCTTTTCCGGGCCATGCAGAAAAAGTGATGCAGGGCCCCTTAAAGGTGAACATGGATATTACTGGGTTGCAGGGCGGAGCCAGCATTTTTTTTTACTGGAAGGCACTAACGACAACTAGGGAAACTGAAAACATGCGTTTTTTTACTATTCTTGACCTTGAGGGGGGGGGGGGGGAGCTGGCGGAAATTTTGGGCAACACCAGCCCAGCCATATCTCTCACTGGCGCCACCCCTGCTCGGTAGGCTGGCTGGCATGATATAAATGTTGTGTTCCTATTCGTTCGGAGCCGATTTCCGGCCCCTGTTCTTCCCCGAGAAGGCGCGCAAATTATGCCCGACACCATTACTCAGTCGGACATTGCCCGCCAGCCTTAGAAGAGCAGGGCTATATAGCCTCGCAGGTTTTTGACGATGACGGCAGCCTGAGGCCCGTGATTTTGCTTTTTGAGAACTGTTAGCTTCCAAAATGTACACCCAGAAAGCCAGGGACCACAGGCAAGCCATTGCGAGAAGCATGTCATTGACTCATTTTAATTTGCCCCGTCACGGTGGTCCAGTGGCTAAGGTACTCGGCTGCTGACCCGCAGGTCGCGGGATCGAATCCCGGCTGCGCCGGCTGCATTTCCGATGGAGGCGGAAATGTTGTAGGCCCGTGTGCTGAGATTTGGGTGCATGTTTAGGAACCCCAGGTGGTCGAAATTTCCGGAGCCCTCCACTACGGCATCTCTCACGATCATATGGCGGCTTTGGGGCGTTAAAACTTATATATCAATCAATCACTCAATTTAATATATTTTTTTCAACACTAGTAGAAAGCCTATTATTTTTTTACTCAACCAAAGGAGAAGAGAATGTTGCGGTGATACTCCTCCTCTCCTTATTGGGGAACCCTGCACATGCCTATTGCGACCGTAGAAAATGCAAGCGATAAAGACAGGCAGACGCTAACACACAGACGTGACAGGTTGCGTGGAACATTCGCACGGCGCTTCATAAGCGCATCTCGCTCTCTCGCCTCACCCTTTAGGCATCATGTGACGCGACTGCGTTGCCCACAGGCTCCAGAAGGTGTTCATTTGAGCCGAGACGATGGGAGCCGAGGTGACCTGGGCCGAGGCTACCTGGGCCGAGGAGCGTCTTTCCTTGACGCCAGGCTGGGCGCCTCCATCGGCCTCAGCGGACGACGTCATGGCGGGTGACAGGAGCTCGAGGCGTACGTTCAGGGGCAGCCGCAGGGCCTCCTTGAGTCTCGAACTCCAATGATAGTAGCCCAGATCGTCGTTCAAGCCATGAGACATGAACCGGCTGTGGTCGTATGAGGTGCTCGGCTGCGAAGTCGACGAGACTGCAGGCTGCGAGGCGCTACTGTGCTCCTGGGAACGTTCAACGGGCCATGAGCCTGACGACCCCACGTCGGACTCACCTTCTAAACGTGACTTAGGCGAGCCCAAGGACCTGGAGCGTCTTTTTTGAGACCTCTGTTCACCGCGGGTTGTCGTTGCCTTTGCCTCGTCTCGATGGAGGCTACCTGGCAGGAAAGATTGGGCAGCGTTCACCTTGGACTCACTAGGTCCCTTCATTTCGTCCACGGTCGACGTTACAGCTGCTTCTTCTAATTCATTCCGGCGAGCGGCACGAGCGAAGCTCGCTCATAACGTTGATGATGATTGTGGCTGTGATGGTGGCTGAAGAAAAGGGCGCGTAGTCACGTAAACGTACTAATACTGCCGCGATATAGAATGAAGCAGTAATGTGCGTTTGGCCTTGTAGAGGATTCGATGCTCCACTTCAGAGCCACACGCACATTACTGCTGCATTAAATAGCGTGGAAGTATTAGGGTCTCGATCCAGTGTTGACAGAGGAGAGAAGCCACCGAATCACCGAAGAGCAAAGAGAAAATATTATTGTTGCACCGATCCCTCGCAATATGCATCCGCACCACAGTAAGGGAAGGCATTTAGCAAGACCGATTTTGATCCTGAAGAAAATCAAGGATCCAGGACCCAGTCAAGGACAAAATCAAGGACACAATCGGTCTGCTTCCAGAATGCGACACAATATGGGCGCTCATCTCACTATGCCGTGGTCGCAATAGATAACAGAGCTCAAATCACCCCGTCAGCCTCCCTCTCTGGGACCACCTCTTCTAAAGCGGAGCAGGTTGCTATTGCGTTGGCACTCTTGGATGACAAGAGGACGCATTTCTATTCAGATTCTAGATCAGCAGTCAGGGCGTTTGCCTTGGGATCCATAGCGAAAGAGGCACATGACGTCCTCAAGAACTGGACCATAAGTATACAAACGATCCCTTGGTTCCCGGCGCACGCCAAAATTTGGACTCACTCACCAACCTCTACGACATCGCCCTCTGCCAAGTGCGCGTACTAACGCTCCTCGCGGGAGAAAAGGCTTTGTCACAGTGCAGGGTTAAAGAGTGCCGAGACGCTTTATTCACATTTGATGAATTCACAAAAAAATTCTCTCTTAAAAGAAAGGTATTTTCTCCAACCGAAACTGTCAGTTTCGTAAGGGCGACGCATAGAAACAAAATCAAAATCAAGCAGCTATTTGTGGCGTTACGCTGAATCTAATCAGACATAACGCCCCTCCATCGCATCTGCCTGTGGTAAACGCAAGAAGGGGCTTTAATCGGAGGTAGCTGCGCGTTGGTGCTTACAGGTGCCTTGCGATTGTGGCGTAAAGCCTCAATTCTGGGTTGGCGTTCTCGCATATTATCTTCTCGTATATCAGTTGCATATGAAGTATTTGTACAATGTGGTCTGGTGAGATGCGCTGCGAGCGCATGACAGCCACCTTGTATTGAAGCCGTTCCTATACTCGAACCAAATAATGCATGCAATACAATTTAGAGAAGCCTTCAGCGCGCGCACAGTATATGAAGAGTTAAGGAAAGAAAAAAAAAGTGGACGTGAGTTTGTTAAAAGCCCCCGTTTATCTTCTTTCCTTAAGTGCTCGTCTGCGGTGTGCGCACTGAAGTACTTCTGGATCTCACTAGCAATGAGAACGAAGACCAGCTAAGGGCTATCCAGAGAGCCCATGACATGAACGAGGAGATGCACCTCCCCGTCCCGTCGTGGGCGCGGCCCTCCGATGTCGCCCCCTATGAGTGTCATCTCCGGATCAAATAAAGTTCCTTGCCTGCCTGCCTGCCTGCCTGCCTGCCTGCCTGCCTGCCTGCCTGCCTGCCTGTATTCACACCAACTCGCCCAACTTTCTATATTTTATATGCACTATAAGGTGTGGTGGTGTTGCGGGAATGATGAGGTGTTGCCACATGCGGGATCAACATGGCAGGTATGGGCCGCAATTATGTACGCCACTATCTGCTCATGTGGAAGGTACACACCCTTACTTATTTGAGAGTCAAAAGACTATAGAAGTAGTGAAAGCTGAGTTGGTTGGTGCCAGTACTTGAACACATTTTAACTCGGCGCACGACTACGCGGACACAAGAGAACAAGGGACCAGCCGCAGCGCTGCGGTTTGTCCCTTGTTCTCTTGTGTCCGCGTAGTCGTGCGCTGAGTTAAAATGTCTTCAAAAAACTATTCTAGGAACATGCATAATTCATGAAGAACTTTGGCGATGGCAGTACGAATTTTCACTACGCCGTTTCAGTGCTGATTGCGTAACATCGGCCGTCATCGTGCGATAATTTCTGATTTGGTGGTTTCTATTGTTTTCAATGAAGGAGGTTCCATGGAGACTATAGACAGCTTTTAATTGTAAACAGTGCCTGAAACAAGAAAGAGCATGGGACCAGCGCTATAATCCATGTGCTGTCTCACGCACGTGGCTAAATCGATTCCTTCTAGAGAAGCTTAAAAAATATTCGCATTTCCCAAAAACATTATTCTAATAAAACAGTGAACTTTTCCCATAGTGGGTTTGAAGGTGCATGACGAAAGTGTACGAAGCCAGTCGACGTTGACCCAGTGATGGCTTCGTCAAAACTATCGGCCATGGCCACCGCTTCCATGGCCGATCCCCCTGTGGTGGGTAGGAGTCATGAATCAAAGAACAAGCAAGCAAACATGATGTCTGCGTCGAGGCATGGGACATATTGTTTCACATGCCGATGAAGAAACTATTTATTTATTTATTTATTTATTTATTTATTTATTTATTTATTTATTTATTTATTTATTTATTTATTTATTTATTTATTTATTTATTTATTTATTTATTTATTTATTTATTTATTTATTTATTTATTTATCGTAAGGGTGACAAGCATGTCAACAAGTGTCATACGATAGAAGTAGAAAACGTACACGGATTTAGTACATACTGGAATGCCACCACGCGCAGCTGTCGAGTGAACAGTTGTGTTTTTCATGCGTTTCTCTACAGTTCTAACACACTGTAGTTTACCGGCCGTAAGGTACCATCATCATCAGTGCCGTTTGAGTCAAAGGGGCTGAACGAAGAAAAGAAAGAAAGGACCCACAACGCCCGTCGCGCGCCGGGCGGCGACCGAGTGAAGACCATGCCGAACGTGTTTTTCGGCTAGAAATGAACTACGGCAGTCCCCAAGACCTGCCGACTTACTACGATGTGTCGTACTATGGCTTGGGTCCGGAAGTCGACCAGCCGCGAGCCGGCGAACCCATCGATCCTCGCTGGTACGTGGCCAGTCCTCCGGCCAGCCAGAGACGCCGCTCGAGTGGTCAGACTCAAGTGTCGCTTTTCTCAGAGGACGAGCTGGACCGCTATGCCACCATAAGGCCGTCAGCCGCGCGTCCCGGAGTACCGCCCGGGCTCAACTCCGGGGGACTGCGCCGCAAGTCTACCAACCTGGACAGGTACGTGAACCTGAGCGAAAGCGTGAACACGGTTACCGACTTGTCCGCGGTGTCCGAACAGCTCCTTCAGCTCTCCCAGATGCAACTGCCACGCTACGTACCACACCTAGCTCAGATACCCGAGATGCAACCGTTGAGCACAGAGCTGGCCCTGAGCAAAGACGCCACGGCCGAGTTCGCTGAAACTAAGGCCCCACCGCCAACGCCGGTGCCTGTTAGAGTGCCGAAGATGCCGGTGTCACAGATAAAATCTCCCATCATTGTGGCACCGGTACTCGAGACAAAATATGCAAATTCCGGAAAATCGGCGCAGCCCAACGCGTACTCCCACTCGGCAGGCATGGTGAGGTCGGATTCGAAAGATCTCAACAAAGCTGCCGTTTATAACGCATTCAAGTCGAAGAAGATGTTCCGCTCGGACGAGCGCGGAGACCGCAACTGGGCGTTGCTGAGAAAGGACGCAACGGTACACTCTCTACCTGCAACCAGCGTAGAAGAATTGGACGCCATTGCATTGCAAAAAGCTAAGCCAGCCGAACAGTCCCGTCATGCCACAATCGCTGGAGAACAGTCTCACCCACAGCCACCACCAGAAGAATATCTTCCACAGCTGCCACCAGAAGAAGTTCTTCCACATCCACCACTACAAGAGTTTCTGCCACAACAACTCAAAGAATTTCTGCCACAGCCACCGGCACTTATCGTGAGTCCATCCGACAGCTCTCAGCCTTCTGGATCATCTGGATCTACATCAACGTCGGGCTCATCGGGCTCGTCGAGCTACTCTTCGGATTATGAAAGCGACACCTCGCAATCCATTTCCGCTTTCGGGGGCACGGTGTCAAAATCCACCCGCGTTTCGCATAACGAGAAGCCTCCCACTTCTATCACGGGGACGCCCTCTTCGATGCCCAGGACGGTGTCGTCGACCACCATGACCTACACCCCTGCGAAGTCCCCAGACTCGTCGAAGCATTCTCCAGAAGCATCGAAGAAGTCCGGGGAGCATCGTTCGTCATTGAAGACTTCACCTTCCAAAGCGAGGACGCCGGCAGAATTATTACGTTCCAAGTCCAAAACACCCCCCTCCATCGCAGCCATGATGATACGCAGCTTTCGCTCGCGATCAAGAACACCCGCATCGAGTGCGAAGGCACATGCTTCTACGAGATCGCGGTCGAACGCACCGACATCCATAGCCAAGATAACTCCAGCGTCCACGAGGCCACCGACTCCGGCAAACCCTACTCCTCCGCCGTCGCCAAGAACGCCGACCTCCATATTAAGGACGTCTGAGCGACCTTCGGCTAAGACAATCGCTTCCCAGCTCCAGGCTGTCGCTGCTGAAGACCAGAAACATATGGTGGAATCTGAGATTCGCAACTTTGTTATTCAAACATCTGAGTACGCACAGCGAGGTGTCAAAAACTCAAGAAATCCAGAAGTGAACAATGATGACTTTCATAGCCAGCTAACTTTCCACAGTCGGGAATCGAGGCGGCCTTCTGGTATTGAACGTGTCGGTCAGAATATGGAAAGTAATAGGCGCATGAGCTCGGGTCATTTACAGTCGTCCATCAAGCAAACCCCGCACTTGCCATCGCGTCCCTCACTGAGCCAGGAAGAGGCCGTCATACCAAAGCTAACTCCTCACAGCGTAGCGCTTATACAACACGGAGCGGCACCACTAGTCAGGGTTCCGGTCACGTCATTGTCCGTACCTGTCGCAAAGGGTGCTCAGGCCCCCAAAGAGTA